CTGTAGATTGCTGTGGGTTGTGGCAGCTGATGGGATTTTTGCCTGTATATGTATGGGGTGAGCTGTGTAATGATTGATGAATCCCTTAATTAACTCCCAACAAGTTAAGATTTATGGCCTCATATCTTTTTCTCATGACACATCTGTGTTTGTCACTTTTGAAGACATGGATAAGCCATTTCTCCAAAAGCTTTTGTGGGTATCTGAAATGTTTCTGAGGTATTTTGCTTAATGTAACAAGATTAGAGTTTTATGACATCAAATTTATGAAATTTTATGGCATGAGTGATCAGATTGGGATGGATGCTGGTTGTGTGCTAGAGGGCACTATCTCCTTGAATACTGGATACCATTTTAGATTTATTTGGGGTATACAATCATGTATGAAATGAATCAAAACCAGTGAACAAATGAAAATGTAATAGAGACACTTAAATCAAGTTATGTTAATAATATATAATAGTAATAATAATAATAATAAAAAAAAGAGCTTTGTGGAAAGAATACTTTTATGAGGCACTAAATTCAAGGGAAAAAAAAAAAATCGACCAAACAACAAGGAAAATAATGTTGTTTGGTAGCCTGAAATTATTTGGTTGGAACCAATATTTGTAGATGACACGAGGAAACAATTCATGTGGATGCAGTGTAGCTCTTGCTCTCTCCAGTGGGAAAATCCAGCCATGCTGAAGTCAGTCTAAAAACACTGAGATCAATAGACACAGGGTATCAGTTTAAGCCTACAAAGAGTCTGTTGTAAATTGAAGGGGAGTAAAGAAATACGTGGAGAAGCTATTGTAAGATGAATCGTGTCAAATACTTGTGGGATGAGTGAGTTAAAAGTGAGATTTTACTTCCCTGAAAAAAAAAACATTCTTGCTACCAGAAAAAGCATTTATTTAATGAAAATTTAACAAAAGGCATGTTTTTTACTGCAATTTCTGCATATTAAGAAGCCTTTCCAAAAACAGAAAAAAGAGCCCCTTTACAAGAAACAGGGTCGTATTTGAGTTCATCACCAGAACTAAATTTTCAGTTCCATCCTAACCACTAATAAAAATCAAGTATGGGGATACGTTTCATAACTCTGACGTGTATCTACAGTGGGCTGAGTACTGCCTGTGTCCCAGTGTGAACTTTGCAGATTTACGTTGTCTAAAAAATTACTATTTAGCTATTTATATTCAGTAGAAATTATTAATGACAGTTCAAAACACAACTCTTCTTGCAAGTCTTAAGTTGCAACAGATTTCATCTGCATAGACACCCTTTTAGATTCAGAATCTGGTCCACTGTATTGCTACTTAGAGTTGTACCTTGAGGGTTTTATTGTGTTTTGGTTTGTTTTGTTTATTTTTTTTTTTTAATAATCTTATCCATAAATTGACATTTGAGGAAATTGATGTTTTTTTCTCTCATAGTAAACCTTCTTTCAGAGGGGTGTAACTGAAAACGCTTCTGGGTTTAAACCAATTTGAGGAAAAGATCTTAAAGTCATGTAAGTTGTAAACTGTCAAGGTTGATCCAGGATGTTTGCAGTCCTTTGTTAAGATGGGATAATTTCAGTCCTTCATTAGACCTAGGTCTGTTTAAAAAGAGGTCAGTGTCTGATAACATCATTACTCAGAATTTAGCTGTTTTCCTTTCCTTATTGTTTATAATAGGAACACTACTTGCATCTCAGATACAGAATCTGTTAAAACCTAGTATTAGGTCAGGAGGAAAATTAAGATGTATGGAAAGAAGGGAATTCAAGGATATGGGGTGTGGAGCATTTCAAATTCAGAAAAGGGACTATTAAAGCTGTAGAAATAATGAAAGACCATCTGTGAATGAATTTACATTTGTACCATGTTGTTTTCTGATCGTGAACCTATTGGAGATTTGATCCTTTGCTGATAGAGTCTTTGATAGTTCCTGTCCTTTTGGAGGACATTTCTGAGAGTAGATATGGATTTATTTACTTGAGTCTTCCATTTTCTTGTGAAAATTTCCCAGGTTTTCATAAGGAGTAAGTAATTTCTGCAAAACTCTGATGTTTGTGGTTGAGGTTTCTAAAAGGCCAGATTATGCCTAACATGCTGGCTATGGACAGAGGTACCTGAAAACAGATTGCAGTCGCTGTCTGAGCTGTGTGACCTTTATCTGGGGTTGTGCATCCATTTTGTTGAGTGTCCTAGTCATTTGGAAGACTAATGCAGGTTATATCCTTAACTTTGCTACTTTAGCCATTTTAGTAATTTGTTAGCCTTCGAGCATTGTTATGGGCACGTGGTTGTGATTTAAACTGGATCTTTTAAGAGCTGCATGAGGAAGAAAAAAAGTTTCTTCTTCCCTCTCTAGTATCACTGTAGATTGGCCTTCAGTCCAACCCATAGGTTTTTGGTTTGGATCAAAAACATAATAATCTCTGTTATTGCTAGTGCATGGAGGTGGTCACCTCTATTGCATTCCTTGCCTGTTTTTATAAATTCCCTGCAGAAAATGATATCATCCCTGTAGGGAACAGTGACAAGCAGAAGGCGATGATGATGTGCAGCGTGCTAACTGAACAGAGTAGAGGAAACATATAGTTAGCAGAAGAGTTTTGTTTCAACATGATAGTCAAACTCTCCTTGTAAAGCGACATGACAGAATCTGGATTAACAGCAGTAGGAGCTTTTAACACAATTTGGGTATATAGTATATAATACAAATCATCAATACAAAGCAAGACATCCTCTCTCTATATTTTATTGTCAAAGTGAATTATGGAGATTTTTGTAGATGGTTTACAATATTTTCAATCATCTTACTGAATATAAGTGTCCTAAAGTATAGAACATTACTGTGGAATAACTGACTAATGATTTTGTATCCCTCTTTTTGTTTGCCAAAATTGAGACAACTGCTTAGTGCTGATTTTTAGAGAGAGAATTTGTAAAAACCCAGGCTTCTATTAAGGCAGTGTTGAAATGAGTAACCAAAATGTTACACTCAGAATCAATAGCAAATGTGTATCTTGATGCAGTGCAATGCAGAATATGAATAATTCACATTAACTTCAGGAGGGAGTTGCATGGTTCCTGCAGAAGAGAAGCTTGGGATCTGTCACATCAAACATAGCTGTAAAATGCTGAATTCAGTGGGCTAGTAGAAAACTGCCAGTAAGAGTCTATCTGGTGATCTCTGTCTTTATACATATGCTTTGCTGCAGACACGTAGGTGGGAAAGCCTAGAAGACAGAATTCAGGTAGGATGTATGAAGTGTTAGTCTGTTGGACTAAGTCAAACATTAATAGAAAATACAGATTGCTTCTCTATGTACAGACAATAGGTGGTGTTTAGAACAGGCGATGTGCAGCTGAGTATAGGTTCTGGTAGGGATTTTTTTGTCTGAGGTTTTTTTGTTGTTTTGTTGTTGTTTGTTTGTTTTTTTTTTTTTTTTTTTAATATAATCTAACTTGGCTCAGGAGGCGAAGCTCAAAATGAGATCATTAGAAACAAAATAAGTCCTAACAAAGGGCTGTTTAAAGTCACTGTTTGTTTTCAGACCCAGTTGACTGCTGCTAAGAACCATTTCGTGCTCAATATGCCAAATCGTATGGACATGCTCCACCTCACAGCAGCCCCACACATGGTTCAAGAGGCTGCTGGGCTTTTGAAATGCAGTCCTTTAACTGTGAAGTGGAAAATCAAAATGGGGTAATTAGAATCATAAATACTAGATTTTTGAGGAGGAGCAGTATTACTTCAGCCTGTCTTTTCAACTTTTACATACAATAGTCTTCCGTTTCCTTGTTCATAACTTCCTATTTTCTGTGAAATATTTATCTTTTTTTCTTTCTTCTTTTGACTATGCCTATAGGTTTTCTTATTTCTCATTCTACTTCTTACAGATGCCCCTGCTTAGCACAGTGGCCCATTATGCTATCCATGCACATACCCTGATTTTCATGAGCAATGTTGCTGTAATTAATCCCATAAGTCGTCTGCATTTTAATACTTCACTGGACCCCTCTATTTTGAAGACCAAGCTGGAAATGTTCTGGGTTCAGACTATCCTGTAAGATTTTCAGTCGTGCCTGGTTTGGATGAAAGCTGGATTTTCCAATGACATAAGGATTCTTTCAGTCTTTCTAAAAGTGGAAGATATATGCGTGCTATCAGAACAATGTTATCAGACAGTCTCAAAAAATTCAGAACATGGGCCTGAATTTTAAGTCAAGATTTGTGTGTGATTTTTTTACAATGTGTGCTCTACATATTTTCAGTTGTGTAACATCTGTATCTATATAAAAAAGGATACATGTGTGTTTTCCTGATCTGGCTATAGGTAGGAAATACAGGGTATCTTGATAGCAAATCTTCATTCACTTAGTACAACCCTGAATTTGTGTGGTCAAAAAGCTTAGATTATTAATGTCCAAGTGCTTAATTGCTTAACTATACCAGATCTGTGAACCTGAAAAGATTCTTGCAACATGACTGTAACACTCAGTTGTTCACATGGGTGAAGTTTTATAAACAGAGATATCTTGGCTTGCTAGCAAGTTATTTTACTGTATTTTATTTTATTTTACTTTATTTTTTTTTTATCAGTTATGGTTAAATACATGTGGATGATTATTCCTTAAAAGCTAAGTTGACAATAGCTTGTATCGGGAGACATTCTATCTTCTTACAGTCTCTTGCAAATGCAAAACCAGATGGGTATTTTTTTAAAGGAATTGCATTTCATTATACAGTCTTCTTAGGTGAATTTTCATGTTTAAGAAGCCAGAATACAAGAGAGTGCTATATTAGTGTATTATTCTCACAACAAACAAGCCACTGTTCTGTTGCTACCTGCTTGGCCATTGTTCCCAATTGTGTATGCTTTGCAGTGGTATTTGGATGGTTTCCTGTTCTCTGCCAGCACAAAAAAGGCATTTCTGTTACAATGGCCCCTAACCACACAATGACGGCATTAAGGATTTATTTGGAGGTTTCATTATTTTCTCCTCTTTTGTTCCTTCCAGGATGTCTTCCAAGCGACCAGCCTCTCCGTATGGGGAAGCAGATGGAGAGGTAGCCATGGTGACAAGCAGACAGAAAGTGGGAGAAGAGGAGAGTGACGGGCTCCCAGCCTTTCACCTTCCCTTGCATGTGAGTTTTCCCAACAAGCCTCACTCTGAGGAATTTCAGCCAGTTTCTCTGCTGACGCAAGAGAACTGTGGCCATAGGACTCCCACTTCTCAGCACAACACAATGGTAGGTTTGCTAATGGTCTATTGTGCTTACATCCATTCTTTGAATTCTGCCTCTACAGTAGTTTGGCATCCAGATCTGTACTTTATGGAGTATACAATGCACAGTTACACATACAGAAAATGCTACAATAATGTGAAAGCTTTGACCTAGCTGGACTGCCTTTACCCTCCACTACAAACGCTAAATCACTTGCAGTGCAAACTCCGCTTTTCCTCACCTTTGCCTGCTGGCATTTAGGGTGCTAAAATTTTTTAGCTACAGTGATGTGAATTTGTAGTGTATGTGTTCAGCAAACAGTAAATGGTTTTGGAACACTGTAAGTGAGAGTCATGTTTGGCATGGTGTCTGAAATATCACCCCAATGCCAAGTTTATGCAATAGTAAGGCATGGAAATCTGTATAAAGGGTAAAAAAAGGCAATTTTGGATTTTGCTGGTTTTAAAAATTTGTGTCTGATGTGTGTTTCACATGCCACAGATATCTACAAGAAAACTTGTGCTGATGGAATTAAGTCAGCCTACTGCTTTTTTACTTGTGAATTCCCACCTTTTTGTGCACTTTACAAATGACACTGTACACTTAATTCATTACGTTTAGCAGCCCACTGGAAGTCCAGAACTATCTTTATCTAAAAGCAGACATGCAAAAAGAACAAAAAGCAGTGCTGGGTTCCTCACTAGTATCGTTGTGTCACTACTGTAATGTGACTTGTTTGGGCCTTTCATGCTGAGTACTGCGGGACGTTTTTGTAAAGGTTGAAGGGTGCAAGGAAAGGCATTGAAACCCCAGGACTTGGGCACCTCGACAAAGCTGACTGTTGTGAACACACTTACACAGCTCTTGCCTGTTTACAAATTGACTGTAACTTTTCTGTTAGTCCCCCACTTTGACAAGGGCACTGACAGTTTCACTCTAAGTGAAGATAATGAATGGACCTGCATATTTGAAGGCTTTTAAAAAGACATTGCAAAATAGTGTATTCTCATAAAAGCCTGCAACAGCTCCATAGTGGTATTTAAGCCCTTACAGCTCATTATGTATATGTAACAAGCCCTAAGTAAAAAGCCTTAGGGATTATTATTTCTCATAGGACCAAGTCACTGGATATTCACTGAAGCTGCTCTCTTAGACAAAATAACTCACTGATCCCGGTCCCTTTTTTGTCTAATGCTTAAGTTCAAACAGTGGTTTGGAATATTTAATTTTGTTTTGTCCTAATGCAACTTTAAATTAAGAAGGAACATCTTTGGAAGACTTACTCATGGGCAGACAGGTCATTATCTTTTTCTAGCTTGTTTACTTCTCATCCTTTATCATATGTTTTATGGGGATGTGATTCATTAATATACTGTTCTAGCCAGTGGGGTGTTAGGGTATGTAACTGGTGTAGGTGCTTTGCTGTACTTTGGCCTATTTTAAGAGAATGTGTTGAAGGTACGGGGTTGTTCCTGACAACATTTAAGTCAATAGATAAACTTGTGATGACATCAGTAGTACAGAATCAGACTGTAATGAAATAAAAACTCATTGTCTTCTAAGGATCCCAACAGAAGTATTTTAGCTACACGTCGATGAAATACTTAACTGCTCTTTAACTGATTTTAACTAACTTCTTTACTGATTTATAATTTTTAAGACCAAGAAGTTTAGCTGATCATCTAGTGTGGCTTCCTGCTATGAAGACTGTTTAACGTGGTGTCAGAACAGTGTGTTCTGTCTCTTTATAATACAAGATAAGGAATTATTTCATGTTTTAGACAGTTTTGCTGTGGTAGTGAGATGCTGTAGGCTTGTCTGAAGCATGTTTGGGGGATTTTAGGAACTGTTTTTATGTTCATACATATTTAAGAAACTTGACAGTTTTGTATGAATGTGATGTTTTGGTATTATCTCCTTTTAGTAAAGAGTGTCTTGTAAAAATCATCATCCAGGTAGGTCAGAAGGGATGTAGCCTATGTGTCTCCAGAAGGAAAGAAGTGATCAGTGTAAATTAGTAAAATATACATAATCACTCCCTCTGCTGTTGTGGTGTGTAGTTATAAGGAGAAAGTAACTTAACCTAGTGCTTGGATAACGTTTAAATGTCTTAAATTTGGGTGATTAGCAGTTACGAAAGTCATTCCCAAAGGATATTCGCTTTGATAACATAACAGAGGTCATTTTTATATGGTTTGAACTGACATTCTGTGCTATTTCATCGTCTGGGAGGCAAATCCAGGTGTATGCACATGTGCACACACCACCACACAGTGCGGTCCAATAGAGTTTTATTGATAAAGCACCAGCAGTGTGCTTCACACTTCTTAATAGCTTGTCAGCTGTACTACTACACCTACTGACTGAGTCTGCAAGTGAGTACGGAGTTCTCATTTTGCAGCCACATGCTGTCCTTAGCAGGGTACACCTTTACAGATCTCCCCAGTGTCCTATAAGACAGGATCAGACATACAGCCAGTCTGAAACCATTTAGTGCATCACTTTGCTGCACCCCTCTAAACTACACTGCTTTGTGCATGATTGTTGGCTAAGACACTTCTCCAAAGGGATTCTAAGATAGATGTGGGATAGATCCAGAGAGATCCTTCTGTGCTAGCTACGTGTACAGCACCCATTTGGCTTAGGGAACACTCTCGGCAGAGGAAAGCCACAGTCAAGGGATCTGGAAAAGGCATGAAATTACACAGCTTTGTCTCATCGGTAGGCTGCTTAGCTGAATTCCTCTTGTCACCGCAGCTGTCCCTACCTCCTCATATTCTGCCTCTCAGCACTGGGTCATGAAGGGACAGTTAGGAAAACAATTTCAGTCTTGAGAATCAATTTCTTGGCCTCACTTTTCTAGCTGCTAATTGATCCTCTGTTTCATAGGTTACTTCCAGCTGTGCTTCCTTTTACAAGTCCTGCCAGCTGGGACATCCTAGGATCCCTAAGGTAAAGGGCTGATTTCATCAGAGTGATAACTCAACAGTTTACCTGACTTAGACTTTTGAAAACTTACCCTGTTGTATTCTACCAAGTTGTAACAGCTACTAACTTGGAGACACAGCTCGGAATGCCGGGTAAATTTTTATAAAAGGAGGGCAAAATCCCTAGAAATAATTCTGAAAACCTAACTAAAATTGGCAAAAAGCTGCAAACCCCATCTTCCCATCAAAATGAACAGTGTATTTCTGAGGATGCTGGAACTGCAGCCAGAGAAAGGTTAGTGCAGTGGGCACAAACTGAAACACAGGAGACTCCATCAGGAAATGCTTTTTACTATGAGGGTAACTGAGCATGGGAACAGGTTGCCCAGTGAGGTTGTGGAGTCTCCCTCCTTGGAGATGTTCAAAAGCCATCTGGACATGGTCCTGGGCAGCTGACTCTAGGTGGCCCTGCCTGAGCAGATGACCTCCAGAGGTCCCTTCCAACCTCAATCATTCTGTGGTTCTGTGAAAGGCAGGGGCAATTCTATCCCAAACTCTCTTCCTCTTGATGGAAGAAACTAGATACTTACATTATAAGAAAGAAAGTTCTTCCACTGATAAGAAAAACAGTAGTTTAAACTAAAGGCTCAGTAGAAAATACAAGACAAATCATTTGACCTAGAATATATATGAGAGTCCCCTTAGGACATTCGTTGCAGGCCATAAACTTAGCGGGGAAACACTTGAGGATTACAGTATCAGTCAATACCTCTTTTGAAGAAAGCTATTAAGGCTACAGTATTTGGATAGCACAGATAGTTGTAGCTCATCTGAGTTACGAGGTTTATTTTATTTATTTCTGTCTGTCTTACCACGTTGCTTTTGCCACCTCTCAAGACTACTGATCTCACCGGTGGTATCTATGTGCCCATTTCTGAAAATAAGAGATGTCAAGGCTAAAAGCACTGATTAAAGTATACCATGGGCATGGTATGCTGTGGTCAGATTTGACCATTCTTAACTGTAGAGTATCAATCAAATGCTGGATGAGATTAAGGAGGAGGAAAAAAAAAAAGGAAGTTCCAACCGCAAGAAGAAACTGGTAAAGTATAATTTTAGCACTGTCCAGTTGTTCCAAACTATGTGGCTGCAGTGCTAACAAACGTTTGTTCTGCACTTTCAGTGGGATTTAGAATTAATTTTCATCAGTGCTTTAAATTGACAGGAAATGTTACAGTGCACTGTTAAGTAGCTTTATTGCCTCACACTAAAAAATGTTGCATTTCTGTGGTGAATGAAGTTACTCCTCTGTAACTTGGGAATAATATTAAGAAATTTTGGTCATATTAAGAATAACAGTACTACTGGTCAAAGAGCTTACTGACACATTGCTTCATGCTTTTTCCCCACTTGTTCAGAATAAAAGATTGTTTAAAGCTGCATTTGGATTCTCTTATCACATACATCCTGGCCTGCACTTCACCTGTTGGTCTGGGATTGTCAGCATGTGAATAGTATTGGATCAGAACGACATGCGGCTAGAGCACTTAACTACTATTCAGAACTTGTGAAGAGAATGGGAATCTGAATGCATATAGCTTTTTAAAAAGTCAAATAGGACTCTAATTATACTGAGCTAAAGAATGTCTATTTAAAAAAAACCCACAGTGGTTTTAGAGAAATTTTAATTTCCAGTGTACCTTTGTGCATCAAGCTTAGGATAAGTTATTGTGATGGTACAATGCACAGTGTTGTGAACACCAGTGCCGTTATTGTGCCAGCTCTAATAATGAGAATTTCATTGTTTGGGGAGAGCAGTCTCCTACACTCTAGACAAAAGTGTAATTACTTTTGAACGATGTGGAATGTGCTCAGTTTAATAGCACGGAGAATAGATTCACAAAGATTCAGATAAAGCTAGCTTGGAAGCCATATGTGCAATGTGGCAGTATGAAATTGTTAGCAGGCACCATAATTACAACACACACACACACACACGCACACAATTTTGCAGTTTAAACTATAAACCGTTGTTTTCGTAAGAGATAGACAGGCTTATCTGAACAAGACTAACTAGTTCAATTAAAGCAGAAATGG